TCTTTTCTGAGATAGTAAGACTCTGAAATTTCTATGAGGAAATAAGCAATCATTCAAGCATGGATTATATTTTTAAGCCAGATAAGCTGGGGTGAAGTAATGCCTCCATAGTGGTGACTTACAGGAGAAATATTCTGCTGTGAATCCTCTTGATTCCTCCATGCCCTTCTCTTGACCCTGAGGTGGCTCCTGCCTCAAATTTCCTGTGCTCTAGACTGGAATTCTGATGGACCCCAAGCACTGACCTCAAAATTCCTGGCCTTGGCTGGTGGAAATTCTCATCTCAATTCCTAGTTGCCCCTTTTTTTCTTTTTTAAAATGATTTGGATTTAACATTCTTTTTATTTAAGTAAACTCTAATTCTCACTAATTCTACATAATGGTTCAAAAATCATGTACTATTGGTCTTTAACTTCTAATATGAACATTTCTATGAGACCCACAAAATGAAAAAAAAAAAAAACATACTGAAGAAAGGGATAGGTCTGTTAAATAATTTACTCAGTAACTCTTCTACAGATCATCTAAAAATGAATTGATAGTGACTTGAAGACACTGGTCTGCAAAACTCAGCTGCAAAACAGCATCAAAAGCACTCTACCATTATGCACAGTATTCTCAATTAAGGTATATTTCTATAGTTCATATATAGGATTCTTAATATCTAAAATTTTACAGCTTATTCCCTTTTTGAATCTTTCCAATATTCACTTCTTATGAATGAGTATTCAAAAAGAAAATTTAAAAATTAATAAAGCAACATTTAAATAGCTTAAGTATATTTAGCTTGAAAATGGGCACTAATGTACAAAATATAATTAATATCACAAAGAATTTGAGGAAAGATTTGGCCAATTACTTTAGTGTACTTTAGAAAGTAAAATGAAACAAATGATTTTTAAACATTTTAAATTTAAATAGCTATGTCCTATTAAATAACTTAAATATGGTAATTTTTTTAGTTGTAGATGGACACAATAATTTTATTTATTTATTTTTTATGTGGTGCAGAGGATCGAACCCAGTGCCTCACATGTGCTACTCAAGAGCTCTACCATTGAGACACAAACCCAGCCCCAAATATGGTAAATTTTAAAAATTATATTTATACAGTATGTTTCAGTCAATAGGGTATTTTCACAATTAATTATTTTGTCCTCAATAAATTGCATGAGAGAAGACTGTCATTCCCATTTTACATTTTAACTGTTCTTTGCCATTTCCAATGACAATCATCTTTAGTGCACTTTGGCTGTCTTCCTCCTAAACTTCATTTTGGTGCTTGCCATCACTCAGAACTAATTCTTCTTGAAAGTATCATATTAGAATACCTCACTCATGGTCTATAATCTCCTACTTTTCAGTTCTTTTATTCAGTTACTGTCACTGTGATAGGGAACTGGCAGATGTGAGTGGTAGGAATATGGAGTTAAGGAAATAATTCTATAAACTGGGCCCACTGTGCTGACCCCTACATGCTTTTTTTTTTTTTAAAAGCAATTTACCTGTAGCCCTGTCTGGCTTAAATTGACAGGATATATTACATTCCTCAGCAAATGAACTGTTATCTGCAAGGAGAAATGCAGTCCCAAAATGCCAACCAAAAAACCACAAGTTACCCTGAAGGGGGAGACTTTTTGTGACCCTTATACAAATCCCAGAACTCAGGGAGATAAGAATAATTCCCCCTAGCCATAAAATCTGTAAGAACAGGTTCCCATTAGAACGGGTCAGCATGGGCCGAAGTGACCTAGAGTTGTGACTCCCAGAAACGTATTGAAAATCTGATGTCATCCTGCTGTCAGTGAAAAGTCCAGAGATGAAGGTGGGCAGAACTCCCTGGAAATTTACCTGGGAGCCCCCAATAAAAATGAAGGGCAGGGGACATACACCATCCCTCTCATCTCTGAGATGACGCTCTCTCTTTTCACTTTCCCTATCCTCTCTGATAGACTCATGCCTGCTACTCTGAGCCACATGTCTGAAATCTTTCTAGCATGATTTAAAGAATCAGGGTTAGAAGGGGGTTTTCTCAACAGACTGCACTTCGTGGCAGGCCTCTGCCCTGTAACAATAATACCTCATCTCTGACTTCATGGGATATCTAGGCCTCCACCGGATCTAATAGTCCTTGTATCTTCACTTCCTTCCTTTTCCAGCTTGGTGTCACAGTCATCACTTAACTTTTTGCTCTTATCCTGTTGTCCTTTCTATATCTAATGTAAATAAACTCAACTTTCCATGTTGGTCTCATCCATTCCTAAACTGCTGAACTCAAGCCACTCAGCCTGCTGATATGATACATTTTGTTATATTCAATTTCAATCAGATCCTAAATGACCATTTATTGAATCCTTTTATGTTTCATAGTCAATTGGCTCTTTAGTTCTCTCCTATAGTAGTTCTTTCAGTCTCTTTTTTTTAGTCTCAAAATTTCAATTCTTAAAAAAAGGAAGTTATTTTATAATTTTCTGCCATAGGTGAGAAAATTAATAGAAGGGTTACATAAATCAATAAAAGTCCATGGCTAGTAAGGAGCAAAGCAAATCAGTCTGACTCTTAGGTTTGTGTTCTTAATCCCTACCTGTAATAATGTTGCTCATATTTCCTGTTACTGTCCTGTCGTTCTTAGAGTTCTTCAAGGCAGAAAGAATCACAGTCACAATCAATTGCCTGTCTACTTCTAACTTTATTGGCATTTTCTTAGAACAACAACAACAAAAAAAAACTGGATTAAGGCAGCAATCTTCAAATTGGCTCCCATTCAATCTTATTCTCTATACTCTATAGACAATGTGAGTAATCTTTCCAAAATACAAACCTACCCTAGTTAGTCTAGTGTCATAGATCAATTCTTTCTAGTTCCCTCAAATTCAATCATTTAGACCAAAGATTGGCAAACTTTTCTTGTAGAGAGTCAAACTGTAAATATTTCAGGGTTTGTGCAATGCAACATCTATCCCAGACTTAATTCTGCTGTTGCAGCAAGAAAACAGCCATACACACCACAGACACAAAGTGGCATATAGCTATGCTACTATAAAACTATAAAAACAGGCAGTGGGCTTTTTCCAAATCCTCCTTTAGATACACCACATTTACTCATTCTGGGCTAAGCACTGTGTTAATGATAAAGGACGCAGAGATGAGTAAAATGGCCATGTCCTTACCCTTGCCCAGCTTAAAACTTTGTGGGGAGGGAAGCATAGATTTTTTTTAAACTTACATAAATATATAAAGCTACATACAAAGAAAATAAAAAGTATATGCATCAGAATCTATAAGGTGGATTAGACCTAGACAGGGATTCAGAAGATCTCCATGAGACACATCATGATTGACATGAAACATGGGGGGTGGGGAGAGTATTCTAGGAAGAGAGATCAACATTTGGATACAAACTATAAATAAATAAATAAATAAATAAATAGTAAAAGCCGGGTCACCTCAAGATCTGAGAAAGGATATTATAGCTAGAATGGCAAGAATAATGAGACTATAGAGAGAAAGACAGGGCTCTATGAATTTTGAACCAAATTCAGGATTTTTATTTTTATTCTAAGTACAAGGGAAAAACATTATTTTAAGGAAGGAATAATATGGCCTGATTTCTATATCAAGGAGAGAATTTTGCCTTTGTTCCCCACTAAATCTTCAGCACTTAGATCTATATCTGGCAAAAGGTAGAGACCCTATGCAGAAAACATAAGATGGGGAAGTAAGAGAGAAAGTGAATAGACTTCCTAGAAAATACCAGGTGCTTAGGAAAAATAATAGTAACTTATACCAGGATAATGAAGAAAAATCTATGGAAGAGACAGTTTTATGACAGGAAATCAAGACTTAGTAATAGGCTATACTTAGTGGGAAAGGCTGAAGAACAGAGAACTCTCAGAAATTCACCGAGAATACTGGAATAATGTTAGGTTTGATGAGGAAATAAGATTTTGATTTTGGGTATGCTGAATATGAAATACCTTTGGTATATCCAAGAGAGGATATTAAACAAAGAGATGGGCATACAGCCCGAAATTCAAAGAAGTAGGAGCTGGAGAAATAAATCTGCTTATCACATATGTGAACTTAAAGTATATACCTAAGAAGATATAACAAAAATTTTAAAAGGGGGTCTTCAGACTGAGCATTGAAGTATTCTTTCATTTAATAAACAGACATAAAGGATGAACCTGCAAAAAGAAAAAAAAAGGCAAATAGCCAATAAAACAGGAAAAAGTCATAAGAATACTATGATATGGAAGCCAAGAAAAAGAAGATAAATCAAGAATATTGAATGCTACTGAGAATTCAAGAATGATAACAACACTGGAAAACATTTACTAGAATTAGTAAAATGGAAACAATTTGTGATCTTATTTCAAGTTGCTACAACTAATTATGTTTTCCTTAGGAACTCTTGTCTATATTTTTCCCTCTCCCTGCCTATAAAGGAACAGTATGCAACACAATTCTTATGGTAAAGCAGCACTGGATGCAGGGCAGAATGGAGGACAGGTGTGAGCTAGAGAGAGTTTAAAGTCTTAAGTAGAAAAACAAAGGTGGCATGGTTAATGGCAGGCAACCAACTATCTATAAAGATAAAAAATAAAATGTGGCACACTGTACACAAAGAGAACACTTACTGGGGTGAAGCTTAGAAGTTGTGACTGACAGAAAAGAAAGCTGAAGAGAGAACTATATACATTTCATTCTTAAATAATGAATAATATATTTCATACATTTCCTTTGTTCAATGATAATCAACAGGGATTTTACAAGATTTCTGAGAGTTTATTCTCTAGCTCATGGATCTAATACTTTCTAGAATCACAGAGTACTTTCTCAAATATATGAAATTAAATGGGAAATTTTACATGAAATTATTAAGTGTAACTCCCAGATTTTAGTAGGTACTTAGTATGTATTTATTCAATTTGAATCATAAAATTATGAACTACTTTCAGACATTATTTTTGGTCCATACAAGCTGAAAAATTTATTACCTTGAATATCATCATTAAATGTGCAATACTGATTTCGATATTTGTTCAGGAGACGAAATGCATTCACATTGGCAAAATCTTCAAACTGAATAAGGCAATTCATACCATATCTATAAAATAAAAACATTCATTTTAGAAGAGGTTAGTGAAATAACATTTAAAAATAAATCCTTAAGGGGCTGAGGTTGTGGCTCAGTCATAGAGTACTTGCCTAGCACATGTGAGGCCCTGGGTTCAATCCTCAGCACCACATAAAAATAAATAAATAAAATAAAGGTATTGTGCCCAACTACAACTAACTAACTAAATAAATCCTTAAAATTAGCTCACAGAAAAGGCAAAATATCTTTAGAGGCTGAGTATAAATGTGTCAGACAGTATGTATTTAGCAAATATTTACTGCATGTTTACCACAGAAAGTCATTGTGTTGGCACTGTGAATTGAAATAATACAAAATGACCATAATTTGGTCCAAAACATGGTCCTTATCCTCAAGGAATCCAAATTTAGTAGAAACAAAAATCCTCCAAATTAAAAATAATGTAAAAGTGTATAAACAAGAAATTATGAGTCTTCAAGGGACAGACAGCACTTCTAGCTGGGATCATAAACCACATAATAAATCAACTTTTAATTGATAGTTATGATTTCAAAAATAGAGTGGGTTTTACAAGCTGAAGAAGACCAGAAACAAAATAACTGAGATGAAAGTTGGGAGAATGAAAGAAAAAATTGTTTGAAAAAATTTAAATCTAATTGGCTCTAATGTAGTGTACATTTAAGGGTACAGTAAAAAAGGGTCAGATCTTCATGCTGGTCCTTGCACTCTTCCTAATTCAGTCTAGCTTTATTTCTATACACAAAGACAGTTATCTCAAAAGTGTACCCTATCTCCCTGAACTCTCTTGGCCCCCTTCCTGCTCCACTCCAAAACTTCAATTTCTTCCTTCTCTACTGGTATATTCCTTCCCTCATTGTCCTTAGGACTCCCTGATTTTCTTTAATTGATTAACTAATTAATTGATTTTTGTGTACTGGAGATTTAGCCCAAGGTACTCTACCACTAAGCTTCAACTTCACCCCTTTCTATTTATTTTGAGACAGGGTCTAAGCTATCGAGGCTGGCCTTGAACTTGAGATTCTCCTACCTCAGCCTCCTGAGTAACCAGGTTATAGGTGTATAGCACTGGGCCCAACTAAGATGCCCTGATTTTTACAACCAACTCCTTTAACCATGATAGGACCAACTATGGTTATTTGTCTTTCTTTTCCACATGTCAAACCTGTCAGAAGACACGCTACTAAACTCTGTTCTCATTTCTAGCTTCTTGTTGACTTTATGCCTATAATTCAAGGACCGTAGGAAACAATGCTGTTAGTCTTCTCTCTTTTCTGATCCAACAAAAATCTTTGTAGTTACCTTATTTTTCTTCCATTATATCTATTTATACACTATTATTATATATTTATTCTTGATGGACTATCTTTTTAAGTCACAGGTGAAACTTGTATTGAATATTTAGTGTCTTCTCTCTCTCCTTCTTTTCTGTGTCATTATGCATAAAGGGAAAAAGGGACTCAGTCTTCTTGGCAGCTGCTTTCATCATGGTGGCCATAGTGGCCGCAACATTGTCCAGCTCCTCTTGATTCTTCTTGGTGAAGATGTTGTGTCCCCACCTTTTTCTTAATGAATTGGAGGCCCATTTGTCCTTGGAGATTTTTAGTAGTTCCCTGGCATGCCACACACCTCTCAGATCACAGGCCTCACAAGAAGTGGTATACCTGATAAGGTACCCAAACCACCAGCTGTACCTTGGCCTGTACAGGCTCTCTGTCACCTTGTGGCCCTAGTTGAGACCCATGGCATGGAGCAGCACAGAGCCATGATTGCTGCTCGTCAGTGTCTGCTGTGGCAGAGGGTTGGCAGGAGGGTGGTTGTTGTTTTCAATTACTAGTGAAGTTTAGCATCTTTTTCTATCTATTGATCATTTGTAATTTTTTTGAAAAACTATATGTTCAATGTTCATTTTTCTATTTGTTATTTAAATAAAAGGTCCTTATATATTAAGCATAGTACCTTGTATTATACATGCCACAAATGTTTGTACTAATCTAGCATACTGTGGATTAATGATTTAGATGGTGTTCCACTTGTTTTTACCCCCCAAATTTTAAATTTTTATGTAGTCAGATATCTCAATCTTTTTAGTTTCTGCCTCCAATATCATATTTATAACAGCCTTCTTCATATATATTTAATCATTAATCCAAACTTTCTTTTTTTATTCTAATTTGTTATATATGACAGCAGAATACATTACAATTCATATTGCACATATAGAGCACAATTGTTTATATCTCTGGTTGTATAAAAAGTATACTCACACCATTTGTGTCTTCTTCATACATATATTTAGGGTAATGATGTCCATCTCATTCTACCATCTTTCTTACCCCTCTGCCCCCTCCCTTCCCCTCCCACCCCTTTGCCCTATCTAGAGTTTGTCTAATCCTCCCATGCTCCCCCTCTCAACTCTACTATGAATCAGCCTCCTTATATCAGAGAATACATTTGGCATTTGTTTTTTTTTTTGGGACTGGCTAACTACACTTAGCATTATATTCTCCAACTCCATCCATTTACCTGCAAATGCCATGATTATATTCTCTTTTATTGCTGAGTAATATTTCATTGTGTATATATATACCACGTTTTCTTTATCCATTCATCTACGGAAGGGCATCTAGGTTGGTTCCACAGTTTAGCTATTGTGAATTGTGCTGCTATAAACATTGATGTGGCTGTGTCCCTGTAGTATGCGGGTTTTAAGTCCTTTGGGTATAGACTGAGGAGAGGGATAGCTGGGTCAAAAGGGTCCAATTCCCAATTTTCCAAGGAATCTCCATACTGCTTTCCATATTGACTGCACCAATTTGCAGTCCCACCAGCAATGTATGAGTGAGCCTTTTTCCCCACATCCTTGCCAACACATACTGCATTTGTATTCTTGATAGCTGCCATTCTGACTGGAGTGAGATGAAATCTTAGAGTAGTTTTGATTTGCATTTCTCTAGTTGCTAGACATATTGAACATTTTTTCATATATTTGTTGATTGATTGTACATCACCTTCTGAGAAGTGTCTGTTCATTTCCTTAGCCCAATTATTGACTAGGTTATTTGTTTTTATGGTGCTTAGCTTTTTTAGTTCTTTATACATCTTAGAGATTAGTGCTCTATCTGACGTGCGTGTTGTAAGAATTTGTTCCCAATTAGTAGGCTCTCTATTCACCTCAGTGATTGTTTCTTTTGCTGAAAAGAAGCTTTTTAGTTTGAATCCATCCCATTTATTAATTCTTGATTTTAATTCTTGTGCTATAGGAGTCTTATTAAGGAAGTAGGGGCCTAATCTGACATGATGGAGATTTTGGCCTACTTTTTTTTCTATTAGACACAAGTTCTTTGGTTTAATTCCTAGGTCATTGATCCATTTTGAGTTTTGTGCATGGTGAAAGATAGGAGTTAAATTTCATTTTATGGCATGTGGATTTCCAGTTTTCCCAGCACCATTTGTTGAAGAGACTATCTTTTCTCCAATGTATGTTTTTGGCATTTTATAAGGTGTAATAAAATGTAAAACATACATGTGCACGTGAACACACACTCACATTTTCTCACTTGCTCTTCACAACCACTCTATGAAGTAAGTCCTATTAATATCCTGATCTCATAGATGAGGAAACAGGTATAACAGTAATGACAATATAATAGCAATTATATAATCTATCTACCCAGAAAAATATACCTCCCTGTTTTATTATAGTTCTCTCTTAACTTTAATATTTAGTACCATTAGTCATCCTTTGTTCTTATTTTTGAATATTTGCTTGGCCATGACAGTGGTTTAAGAGCACAGGCTTTAGAATAAGAACTCCTAGTTTGAAATTTTGGCCTCATCACACTCACAGATCTTTTAATTTTTCTGTGCCTGTGTATTTTCCCACAATTCTAATAATAATATATAATCCTAAGGTTGTTATAAAGATTAAATGAACTGATAAATATACGGAGTTCAATACAAGGGCACATAAATACTCTCTAATCATGAGGGTTATTTAATTGCAACAAAAGAAGCCATAAACAGCTAAATAATACCCTCAAAAGCCTAAGAGAAAATAACTGTCACCCCAGATAATACATCTAGCAAAGATGTTCTTTAAGAGTAAGGTTTAAACAAAGACAACTTTAGATAAATAAAACCCAAAAAAGTTTTACTAAAAGAATTCTGAAAGTGTGTACAGAATGACAGAAAATAATTCCAGGAAAAAGGATCTATAATATAATGAAAATTTTAAAATATAGATAAATACAAGCAATTCTTATCCACAGGAAATAGTAATGACAGATAAAGCTATTCTCTATCCTGAAAGAGAGAGGAGGTTAGCAAATTTATTCTCCAAACAACAAGGAAAAAAACCTTTAAAACTATCATTTCAGTGCTCTGGAAGTCAACTAAAGGCAAAGAGGAGAAAAAGTTTAAAGTAAAATAGAGAACTAAGGTCAATTCTTGAAAGAAACAAAATAATTTTCAACTCATAAACATGAGGCCATTCATTACAAATTACATAACTGTTATTATAATTTACAAAAGCAACTCTACAGTTACAAATTATCATTTTAAAAAAATAATGTTAACTGAGAAATAAACTCTGTGGTGGCAACTAAGTACCCCAAATACAAATATCAGTCAATAATCATCTGATGCATGCAATGAATAGCTCCTTCCCACTTCTCTAGTTGCTAAGCAAGCCTTCAGAAAGCAAAAATTATAGGTCATTGGCAAGTGCTCTCACATGGCTTGCTCCTGATATGTCATATTCTGGTGGTCTGGCAGCATTCAATGATGTGTCATTATGTTCTGAAGAAGCAGAACCTTGTGGTCTCAGAATATAGGAGGAATCAGAGCCTTCTCAAGTCTATTCCCGGATCTACTACTTACTTGGTTTGGTGATCTGGGGCTTGTTACAATTTCTATGTGGTTAAGATGAAATCCCCACAATATGGTTTGCCTTCAGTGTTTAAGACACAATGTGGTCAGGCTATAAATTT